GTCATGCAAATGCTGGCACCAGAATGGTCAAAGACAGGAAACAAGACGAGATGCTCCTCTGTATCCAGGGCACTAATTGGCTGATTTTTTATAACCCGTTTGAGAGGCGAGCCAATGACAGAAGCTGATATATGAGTGTCCCTCCTGCCTTCTCCCTCCCCCCCCTCCCCCTCCTTCTCCAAGTCCTCCCCTACCCCCGTCCCCTTACCCTCCTCCCCTCCCCCTCCTCCCCCACGTCTCCCGGCAAGACCTGTCCCCCCGAAAACTGACCGTTAAGGGTGACAGTCGGTCATTACTGAGTGTGAATGGCTATGTCCGACCGTTTTGTGCACTATTAACCTAATTACGACGAAGGCGGAGGCGAAGGCGATTCAACCCAGGACTTGGGAGTTGATCTCGAAGTATTGTGACAAGAACCCGATGTTGCTCGGCGTCCTCATTTGCCTAATGGTGCAAGATAAAAAAGGGGTGATCTCAGCTCCGAGCCATGTCCGCCAGTTCTTCATCGACATGGGTTCCAGGCAAGAGTACAAAATGGTGCAGAAGACTTGGTGTGTGGAAGTGGCTGATGCTAATAAAGTACGTAAATATAAAAAAGAAAATAAATCCTTCTTCTTCTTTGTTTATATGTGTTTTTTTTTTACCTTTTATTTTTCTATTGTGTTTTTTTTACCGTTTCTTTGTTTTTTACCCTATTCTTTTCCTTCGTTTTTACCTTGTCTTTTTTGTTTGTTTTTGCTTTTTATTGGTTTTACCTTTTCGTTTCTTTCTTTTTTTAAATTTCTCTCTTTGTCACTTATTCATTCCTTCAACTTTCGCCCAGGATGTAACAGAATAGGTATTTTATAAATGGTGTTTATGATAATTGAAATATGTAAGGACATGTTCACTAATTACAGCAATGCTAATAATTGTGATTGTGACAAGATGTAATATCAAGCAGTCACGAACGTAATGGAAAGTGTATTCGAAATTGTAGGTGCAAGAATAGATTATATGTGTATGTGTGTGTTTATATATATAATATATATGTATATATATACACACACGCACTCACATATATGCATACATGTATATGTATATATATATATATATATATATATATATATATATATATATATATATATATATATATATATACTATATATATATATATGTAAATAGATATGTATGTATGTATATATACTATATATATGTGTATATATACTACATATATATATAGATAGATTGATAGATAGATAGATATACATATATATATGTACGTATATATACATATATGTATATATGTATATATATATATATATACACATATTATACATGTATATATATATAAATATATATATATATATATATATATATATATATATATATATATATATATATATATATACACACACACACATATATACATACACAGGCACACATATATATGTATATCTGTATAATATATATATATATATATATATATATATATATATATATATATATATATATATCGACGAAGCCAACAATATATATATATATATATATATATATATATATATATATATATATATTGAAATTTACATCATCCAGTCATGAATAATGTTCCATTACATAATCATGAATTGACTGTTGTTCTCCAATTAGACATAATGGGCTGATTTGATTAACCCTTTCGAATCCAGTAGGTTGATTTGGATATTAATCAGATTAAGTTGATTTTATTATCAATTATATCGAGAAAAAAAAGTTGATATTGATCGCGGGTAAATGATATCTTGATTGACCAAGATTATCATAAATGATAAGATCTTTTATCTAATATCTGTATTTCTCTTGGTAATCTTAAATCTTTTGTTTAATTCCGTGTTTTGATTATTCATCTCCTTCGTTTGTTTTTGTTTTTATTGTTATTTGTTTATGCTTATATTCACCATTCTTGATGTGTGTTTCGTTTATATTATTCATGTTATTTCATCTTATTTTTTATGACATATTCTTTTAATTTTTATTGATCACTTCATAATGATAATGATGATGAATAAGAATAAGAATAGTAATAATAATAATACCAAATAATAAAGATAAGGATTATAATATCATTAATAATAAACAAATATAATGATTATCACCATCATTATCATTTAAATTAGTTAAAATGTCATGTTTTTATTCATTAAAGATAATAATAATGATGATAATAATAATAATAATAATAAAAAAAAAATATAATACGAAAACATAAACATGAAAAAAAATCTAGAGTAAATAGAATGTAGAAACCAAAGGCAAGAGGATAAGACAAAGTCTGGCGTTTCATTGTATCACTTTATTTGAGTAAGTTTCCCCAAGATGGCGTGTTGGTGGTGAGCGCCAGATGCGCGACCCGTTTCATCTCCTCTCCGCTCCCCTCGCCCCCTTCCCTCCTCTTCCTGTTCCCTCTTCTTCTTGCTTCCTCTCTTCCCTCCCTTCGCCGTCTCCCCTCTTCCTCTCTTCCTCGCCCCGCCATTCCCTCCGTCTCGGGGCGATTCTCTCCTTCTCCTTCTCCTCCTTCTTCCTCCCCGGCGCCGGACTCTCCGCGCGGCGCCCGGGGCACAGGCGGCGAGCCGGGCTGAGCCGCGGGCCCCGGGCGCCGCGCTCCTAAAGGCGGCGCGCCGGAGGGACGCCTGGCGCGGCGGGGCTGGGGCGGGGCACGGGCGGCCGTCGACGCCTCCCGAGGGCAGGCAGCGCTGCCCTTGGCCAACGCTCAGCGGAGTCCTTCGGGCTCCGTGTCCGAGCGGCCGAGGGGCGCGAGGGGATCGCAGCAGGAGGACCGCGGGCGCGGGCGGGCGCCACATCCGGGACTCACACAGTAATAAATAGGACTGTACATAAATGCATCAGCAGTGCTGAGTGAGCTGAAACCAAGGCTGCCAGGCGTTGGACTTTCAGGCTGACCTGCGTGTGGGCGTGAGTCAGCCGTGGGCGTGGGCTGGCCGCCCCCACGCACGCCCCCACGCCCGCCGCACCACACCGCCATGCAATAACAAGTAGGTACACGCTCTAGGTGCGAGAATGCCACAAAACTGCAATTTGGCAGAGTTTAGGAATATTAAATAAAAGTATATTTGGTGTGATTCAACACTAAAGAGCATGGGTGCGGGGGCGGCGCGAGCGCGGGCGGGGCGTGGCCGGGGGCGTGGCAAGGGAGGAGGGGGGGGTCGCCACCGACTGTCTCGCGCGTCACACCAGCTGCGGTTGGTCTGTCTTCCTAACACTACGTACCTACATCACAGCAAACAAGACACTCTACTGCTTAGAGGCTCAGCGGCCTTCCTTCCCTCACGCTGGGAGGTCCTTACAACTACCCTGGACTCCCTCCCTCGCCGGCAGGAGGGCCCGTCGGCGCCCCCTGCCGGACGTCTGCCGCGCCTTCGCCAGTCCAGGAGCCCGCCCGCCCGCCCGCCCGCCGCGGGAGGGGCGCGAGGCTCCTGCAGCGGCACGGTCTGCCTGCTTCCTGGCGCCAGCCTTTTTCGCGCCGCCGGTCCAGCAGACACAAAATCTCGCTACCGTGGCTTGAATATGCAATGCGAATGCACGTGAGTCAGTGCTATATAGCATACGTAATTCCTAAAACATAAAAAAACGATTATTGATATTGGCACATTCTTTGCCACCAAATTACAAACAAAGAGAAAAAAAATTATAGAAATGGTTTGGCACTACAGAAAATAATTGAATGAGTACGGAATACTTGGCACTAATATTTGGTAACACTAAGAATAAATAGTATAAAATTATATTCAGCAAAGCTATGAAGGGTGTTGGGCGTGGGGGCGAGTGTGGAGGTCAGGTGCGTGTGGTGGAGGTGGAGGCGGTGGAGGCGGCGGTGGTGGTGGCGGTGGCGGTGCGGGAAAGTGGGTACGAGAAGGCACAAGGAGGTGTGGAGGCGAGTGCTGCCCGCCTCCGGTCGCTCGCGTCGGCCACCTGCTGCACCACACCGACCTAGAGTAAGACACTATCTCAAAGACACTGTTTAACCTTTAACAAGGCACTCGGGTTTCGTTCAGGTCTGAGGCTTCGGTTGCTTGGTATTGAATACCAATAGAATACATAATCATCATCGGCATCACATACATCCAGGAAAATAATAATTAGTTAAGGATAATATTGGTTCGTAGCAAACCAACAGATTAACACAGTTTATAGTCCACAAAGCGTGGAAATCGGCAGGGGCGGCGGTGGGGGCCAGGCCAGGCGTGCGCTGACCTGGCCCGCCCTGGTGACCCAGGCCAGCCCTCGGGCTGCTGCCCCGGTCACCGCCCACTGGCCCTTGACTATAAGTCACCGAGTAGAACAACCACAACACCGTATACAACATGGTTTCTCTCCCCCGTTCTCTCTATTGTACACAGGAGTTCCTAAGAGCAATATCTATATTTTTTGTCCTTCAACACAAATTCTTCGCTCGTACAAATTCCTCTGTCTAGCAAAAAACTGGATACAAGGTACAGTAGAAAGTATAACAACTACACCAGTTGGTATGTTACAATGATATGTACGGCTAAAAGATAACATACGCTATAGTACACGGGCGCCGAGCGCCGTACTACTCTCCGTCTCTGCGGCGGGGACTAAAACGTGCCCGCCTGAGGTGTTCCTTCAAGACATAGGTCTTCCAGCGCTACTTTCCAAGGCAGTCTGGAAGAACGCCCTTCTCCCGCCGCCGGCACGCCCAGCTCTCTCTCTCTCTCTTGACGACCTGCCGCCGTTCCTGCGTCGCCCGCTCGCCCGACGACCGCGGCGGCGGCGACGGCGGCGGCGGCGGCACCCGAGGCTGCGGCGGCGGCGCGGCGGGGCGCATGAGGGGAGCATCTCGCTAGACTACTCCCCGAACCAACTTCATTCGAGGTGGCGGAAGCGATGGGCGGACATCTGGCTGAGGCCCAGCACCGAGTACTGGCACTTGAGGCAGTGGTAGTGCGTCTGCTTCTGGTTGTGGTTGCAGCCCTGGACGCCACACGGCTGCGATGGCGTGAACTTCTCGAAGCCGGCGGCGTTGATGGAGTCGCGCTTCTGGTGCTGCCGCCGATGCGCCACGACCTTGTTGGTGTCCGTGCACACGAAGTCGCACTTGAGGCAGTGGAAGTGCGACGCCTTGTTTTGCTGCTGGCCTGGGGGGGGAAGACGCGCGTTAGAACAGGTGCCATTCAAGGGAATCACGAAACAAACGGATATGAAGACCGATAAGTGGGCAATATATAAATATACACAGTATATGCTTAACCACGCACCTATCATGGAGGCGTAGACGCAGTCGGGGCGCCCGCACGGCACGTTGGACCGGAACTGGTTGAAGTCCCCGCCCATGAGGGTGTCGAGGCGCTCGTGGCGCGCCGTGTGCTGCACGAACCGCGTCTTGTCGCAGAACGAGTAACCGCAGTCCTTCCGCATGCAGTGGAAGTGGGTCTGGTGCTCCCGGTAGCCGCAGTGCGGGTACTGGCAGTCCTCGTTGAACCTGTGGAGGAGGGGGGGGGTTAGTCTCTTGCACAATGGCGGACGGCGCTAATGCGACTTTCTTCATTTTTCTTATGTAGTAATATAGTAAATAAATGCATATGGACATATAGAGTTATATAAATACACGTTCATTAATTTCCCTGTCTCACCTGAAGCGCACGTAGCCCTCGGGTACGGGCTCGTCCTTGAGGAGGCGCATGGAGTGGTTGGAGCGGATCTTCTTGGCGTCCTGCGCGGCGAAGTCGTCGGCGCCGAGCCGCTTGCCGAGCAGCGCCAGGTGCGGCGACGGCCCCAGCGTGGCGGGCAGCACGGGGTTGTGGTCGCCCGATGCCTGCAGGCCCGGCGGCAGCCCCGGGCTCACGCCGGGCATGCCTCCGGGGCCGGGCGAGCCGTGGGGCATCTCGCCGTTGGGTCTGACGCCCGGCAGCATGAGTCCCTGGTGGGCCATGGCGGCCAGCGCGGGGTGCACCTGCCAGGCCGTGGGCGGCAGCAGGCGGGGGATGGTGCCCGGGAACATGCCCGCCATGCCCAGGTGCGGCCCGAAGGGCGTGGGCAGCCCGGGGAAGCTGGCCGCCTGCGTGTACACCAGCGGGAACTGAGGGCCGCTGATGCTCCCTGAGATGCTGCTCGTGCTGAGGGAGCGCGGGCTGCTGGCGGGCGCGGCCAGCGGCGTGGCGCCCATGCTGCTGCTCGTGCTCTCGCTGGGGCTGCGCGGGCTGGAGGGGCGCTCGCCGCCCTCGGACGGCGCCTGGCCCGCGTCGTCCGCCTCCTCCTTCACCTGCGCCGGCGGGTCCTCGTCGCCCGCCGCCGCCATGCCGCCGGGCGTCATAGGGCCGCATGCGGCGTGCTTCAGCAGGTGCGGCCGCAGCTTCTCGTGCTCGCTGAAGGCCTGGTTGCACACCTGGCAGTGGTAGTGCTCCTTCTTCTTGAGCTTGCAGAAGGGGCGCCCGCACGAGAAGTCCGGCCCGTACTGCGGGTGGCGCTCGGGGCTCATCCAGTCGGCACCCAGGGCGGCCGCCAGGGGCGCCTGCTCGGCCGTCATCTGCTGCAGGAGGCGCGCCGAGTACGGGTCGCCGCCCAGCGCGCCCAGCGAGCGCGCGGCGTCTGCCTCGAAGTCGTGGGCGCGGTCGTCGGCGTCGCCCTGCTCCATGCGGTCGCGCGCCGGCGAGTGCGGCGCCTGCGGCCCCGGCGAGCGGCGCGTCGCGGTGATGGTGAGGCTCCCCGACACGGGCAGGGTGAACGTGGTGGACATCTGCGGGCGCGTCGAGGGAGGGATGGGCGTCACGAGGGCGCCTGGTTCGCCGCGCGCCGCGTTGGGCGGCCGGATGCCGCCGGGGTTGGCCGTCGGGAAGGGCGACAGCGGGTAGAAGATCCCTGAGGACTTGACCACTGGAGGCGAGAGATCTGCACGTCAGTGTAACCTGAAGCTCCCCGTCGGGCCCTCGGGCGCCAGAAAGGCGCCCGCGGCTCCGCGGACTCCACTACGCTACGTCTTTCTACTCAAAAATCACAAGACAAGACTACGGAATATGCTCAGCCTACCGGACCTGCGACACTGCTCGGGCTTTACCTTGTCCTTTGGAGGGCGAGTCCCTGCCGGCGGGGCCCCCGGGGGCCGGCGTGTCCATGGGGCTGTCCGGCCGGGGCTTCTTCAGGTAGATGGGCGACTGCGGGCCGAGGCTGTGGTGGGTGGCGCCGCCCGCGACCGCCACGCCCTCGTCCTCCTGCTGGTGCTTCTCCGCGTGGGACTCGAGGGTCTGGTACCGCACGAAGGAGAAGCCGCAGCGCGTGCAGTGGAAGTGCTTGTTCACCTTGTTGCTGCGGGAAGGGGGGGGGGGGAATTAGTTTTCTTGGCCTCTATGGTCACGTGCTTTTAAACTGTGGATTTCTAATGTTACGAAGGAGAGAAGAAAGAAACGGAGATGGACGAGAAAAGAGAAAGACCTCAAGATACAGATTTATATATAAAAACGTTATTTATGCGTTATATTCATTTTCTTGTCTACAAAGCAAAAGACAAAAAGTGAAACCTCGTTACCTCTGACAGTTTGGTGACCGACAGTCAATGTTGCGGTCGATGGCAATGAACCCTTCGGGGATGGGCGTGTTCTCGTGGAAATCGTGGGCGTGGAGCGGGAGGACGTCGGTGTGGGCGGTGACGTACAGACACCTCGGGTGGGCGCAGTGGTAGTGGCGGCGCCCCAGCAGTGGGCACAGCTGGTCGGGGCAGGCCACGCCTTCGGCCCAGGGGTAGAACCCGTCGACCACCTCCGCCTGTGGGCGAGAAAAGGGCGTGAAAGGGCGCGGGGAGAGGCAACGCGTTAGCTTCTAGTTCTAAGGGACAGCTTATTCGAGCGGAAATACGAGACAAGGCTAGCGAGCATGGGGGGCGCGAGGCATACCTGAGGCTGCAGCGGGTTGGCGAGCAGCGGCCCCCGGAGCGGCAGGAGGACGGGCTGGGGTCCGCCCAGGGGTCCCCCCAGGGGTCCCCCGAGGGTGGCGGGCTGGGGGACGACGCTGCTGGTGGTGCTGGTGGAGGTGTTGGCGGAGCTGGACATGATGAGGCCGGGCGGCGAGGCGTCGCGGCCCATGTGCGCCAGGTGGCCCAGGGGCGTCATGGGGTGGCTGGCCAGGGCGGGGGGCAGGGTCAGGGACGGCCCGTGCGGCGGCGGAGACGTCTTCGGGAGCTTGAAGCTGGTGAAGATGGCCTGCGGAGAGTCGTGGGCGCTGGACACAGGAAGCTGCAAGAGAGAGGGCGGTGAGGGCGGCGTCCGACAGAAAAGAATCGGCCTCCGTCGGGCGCTGGGAGGCCGCGCGCAGGACGGAGGCCTTCGGGCGAGGTAAAGGGATCTTCATATTGAGATCCAGAAGCAAAAAACAAAATATATATAATTTATACGATTTAAGTTATGTAGATATAAAAATACACACCCATAAACACACACACACACACACACACACACACACACACACACACACACACACACACACACACACACACACACGCACACGCAGCAATGTGCAAATAGCGGCAGCAGGCGGCAAATGGCGGATTAATTGGGTTGTCTTATTTTTAGCAAAAGCGTAAGGCAGTAAACAGGAGAAGCTGTTAAAGATCACCTTAAACGTAAATAGTTAAGTGTCTGATTTCGCTTTTCGTATTTTCGTAATGAATTCGTTTATAAATCTAATAGATTTTTCAAATTTCATTTTTTTTTATGTATTCCTTCTGATACGTTTTTTTTCTAAGAATAAAACATATCCGAAACACAGGACAGAGACTTTCTTATATATGTATAAATAGAAAACTGAAAAAAATTCGTTTATTTCCATAACAACTGCTTGTTAAATCTGGGAACTTCTGCAACCTACGATAAATTTTGAAACAGATAATAAAGCTTGGGAAAACTACAATTATTTTTGCACCTGCTAAACACATGCCAAACCTTGGAAAAATCTGATAAAATTTGCAACTTCCGATAGACTGAAACTTCTATAAACACTTGCAACTTTAGATAAACCTTTCGAAACGCCTTCTTGCAACTTCGCCTGATCTTTGGAAGTTCGAGCAAGACTAAGGGGGGGGGAGCGAAGTTCGTAAGGGAAGTAGCCAATTAGGAAGATGACTATTAATTACATGTCATAAAAATATAATGATCGCTTGGGCACTAAACCATGTGGTGCGTCTAATTAAGGAGGTTTAAAACGTGAAATTCGGGAAAGAGAGAGAGAGAGAGAGAGAGAGAGAGAGAGAGAGAGAGAGAGAGAGAGAGAGAGAGAGAGAGAGAGAGAGAGAGAATGAGAGAGAGAGAGGGGGGGGAGGGAGGGAGGGAGGGGAGGGGAGGGTAGAGAGAGAGAGATAGAGAGAGAGAGATAGAGATAGATAGATAGATAGAGAGAGAGAGAATGAGAGAGAGAGAGGGGGAGGGAGGGAGGGAGGGAGGGAGGGAGGGAGGGAGGGGAGGGAGAGAGAGAGAGAGAGAGAATGAGAGAGAGAGGGAGGGAGAGAGGGAGGGAGGGAGGGGAGGGAGGGAGGGAGGGAGGGAGAGAGAGAGAGGAGAGAGAGAGAAATATATATAAAGCAAATGATCATAACAGTGCAATAATAACAGCAGACGTGGCAGTCTCTCCTAACAGATGTTCAAAATTTCCATATTCTGAACAACCTCTCAAAAGTTCACAAACTAAAGCGGGTAAGAAATTGAACTTTAATAAACTAATATTCTTTCACGGTCTAACTAGCGCACTAATAGGCAACTCGCACTAATCTTAATAACTACTAAACCACTTTGTTATCAGAATTAAGGGTATTACAGTAGTTATAACTTTTTTTTTTCTTTTTTTGACTCGTATTAAAGCGATTGTGCAAATTATATTATTGATTAAGTTTTTAATGGTCAATACTGAACAAACTTTTGGTTAGACATTGTCAGTCAGTCAGTTAGTGCAACAAAATTCTCACTAACTTACGTAGTCATTCCAAACCTGCAATCAAACGGGAGACAAAGAATGAACAATCAACGAAGAAGATAAAAATAATCATGATAATAATAATAGTAATAGTAGTAATAATAATAATAATAATAATAATAATAATGATAACAATGATAATGATAATATTTTTATAATTATATTGATAATAGCATTATCATTATAATGATAAAAATGATAATAACAATAATAATAATAAGAATAATAATAATAACAATAAAAATGATAATGATAATAATAATGATAATAATAAATACAGCTTTAGGAATCAAAATGTACTATCATTCAAGTTAATATTTACGTAAGACAGAAAGCAAAATTGAGTAAATGCAAATATCAAGAAGGCTCTTTTAAAAGCCCGTAATGTTTAGGTTTACATAATACTCAGTCCCTTTAAACCAACTGAGAGGATTTTTTTTGCATCACAAGGGAAAGGAAGCTACTTGAGATGTTTTTTTTTTTTTTTTTTTTTTTCTTCTAAGTCACTGTAAGGAGTCTTTACTTCAGGATGCAAAGTCATTTAATTCCTTATTTTGCATTATATTTGTATTATTTATATAGCTTGTTTGTTTGCCTTTAGTTGAATTATAGTTTTTTTTTTTTTTTTTTTTAGATCTTTTAAAGACTGTTCGAGGGGCCTTTACTTCGTGATGCAAAGACAGTCATTTAAGTCTTTTCAAAGTTGTAGTTTTATCTGAGACGCTACAACAAGCTTTTACTTCACAATGCAAAGACAAAGACAGCAATGCAATCTGCCATAGACAATTTATTAATCATTTTTAAGGGCATCGCAGGGAACCTTTTCCATCAAAATTAACCTCCCGCGCCTCTGAGGGTCTTGGGCGCCCTCTCCCGGCTCCTCCTCGCCCTCACGACCTCCCTCGACCTACCTCAATGATCCTGTTCTTGGGCGGGCGACCTCGCTTCCGCTTGAACATGGCGTCGACGGAGGTGACGGCGGCCACGCCCATGGGCCCGCCCGCACCCGCAGCCCCCGGCGAGGTGGCCAGGGCGAGGCGGCGGGCGTAGTCGTGCATCCGGAAGTGCTCCAGGCGGCGGAAGGGCTTGTCGCCCGAGCTGAGGACGGCCTCTCCGCACCCCTCCTGCGGCCGCGGCGGATCGGGTTAGTCACAGCACACCAACAACAACAATAACTACTACTACTATAACAGCTACTGAGAAAATAACGGCAGTCAGTGGCATTGCCCGGATTTTTCAATTATTACTTTTTGTATTCTATTCAGCTATTTATCTATTTAATATTTTTTACACAGTGAGACCTGGGTTTGGCTTCGGCTGCTGTTGCAAAGGAGAATTGCAGAGCAAGTGACTGCCAATATTCCGTCAGTTAGAGCTGTCTTCAGTTATTCTCATGTTCATTACTCAGTTCCTTACGAAAAAAATGCACTTCAAAAATATGCAAATGAAGCTAATAGATAAAAAATAGAATGTTATAACGGATTAGCTACAAAAAAAATAAGATGATAAAAAATAAAACAAGTAAACGTGACAAATAAAAGGTATGACAAGGGTCACAGCACAGAAGCCTTCGTCCCCGCGGGAGGCGCGCCCGCCGCCAAGGGACCGAGGGCGCCTCCCAAGGGCGTGCGGAGGCCGCGGCGGCGCCCGTACTCACCCAGTTGCAGTGGAAGTGGTCGGCGTGGTCCTGCACGGGGCAATCGGGCGGGCACGGGCGCGGGTCCTCGCCCGCGCACACGCGCGTGTAGTGCTCGTCCGTGATGGCCGCCTGCTGCTCGTGCACGTGGCCGTGGTCGCGCGCGCCCTCGCGCCCGCGGAAGACCGTCTCGCACTCGTCGCAGTGCCAGTGCTCGGCGCCCGACAGGTCGCAGCCCACGCGGCACGCGTCCTCGCGCCCGAAACAGCGCACGTAGCGCTCCCACTCGCGGTCGTCGCCGCCGCCCATGCTGAGGCTGAGGTCGACGGGCGAGGCGTTGCCCGAGGACGAGGATGCGGGCGTGGAGGCCGAGCTGGTGGCCGAGGCGCCCGGGAAGAGGCCGTGCGAGGCGGGCGGGGGCCCCACGCCCAGCAGGCGCGCCAGCGGGTGCTGCGACTCCACCAGGCCGGGGGGAGGGAACCCGCCCATGAGGGGGCCGGGCGGGCGCTGCAGCGACAGCGGCATGGCGGGCGGCGCGGGCGCGGGCCCCAGCGGCGATGACGAGTCCTCGCTGCGCTGGTCGGCCGAGCACATGGGGCCGGCCAGGGGGCCCCCGAGGGGACCCACCATGGGGTTGACCATGTGTCCGGCCAGGCTGCCGAGGGGTCGCAGCGCCTCGTGCAGCAGGGGCGTGAGGGCGGGGTGGCCCTCGGGCATGCCCAGCATCGTCTGCGCCAGCTTGTACTTCCTGTAGGCGCGCTCGTGGTCCTGGCGCTCGTGCTTCCTCTGCAATACAAAGCCTTGGTTATCAGCTGCCGAGTGGTCGCCGCCATCGCAGGCGCTTCTAAACGTCAAAAGCCTCTGTCAAATATTTGCATCACTAGCATTGTGGCTCCCCGCCTCCGCCTCCGCCACCAACAGCCAGAGAGAGGCCAGGCCCCGCAGGGAAACGCGACTATGCGAGAGATCAGGGAAACACTAAGACCCAATGACAGCCCAGTGGAGAGAGAGGGAGAGGGAGAGGGAGAGGGGGGGGAGAGAGAGAGAGAGAGAGAGAGAGAGAGAGAGAGAGAGAGAGAGAGAGAGAGAGAGAGAGAGAGAGAGAGAGAGAGAGAGAGAGAGAGAGAGAGAGCAATCTAAATTATAAGCATGTATTTTCTTAATCCCAAATAAGCAAAAAAAAAGATAATATCCCAAAATTCAAAAGCGTCTGTGTCTGTGTAGGTCTGGCTGACGTGTTCTCGCATCTTGTAAGAAAAAAAAAGAAAAAAGGAGAGAAAAAAAAATCTACGAAAAGCAATCATAATAAAAAAAGGCGAATAACAACTACAAAAAAAAATAAATAAAAAAATAAAGAAAACAAATAGAAACACACACAAAAAACAACAAAAAAACATAAAAACCCAAAGATAAAACAGCTAAACACAAGCAAAACCGCAGCAGTGTCTGACAAGCGTCTGTGTAAGTGTGTGTAACCAACTACTCGGTTGTTGTTACCAGGTGTAAGAGGAGAGTGTTGGTGAGCACCTTGTGGGCGAAGATCTGGCCGGAGGAGTGGAGTACATAGTTGCACTCCGGCCGAATGCAGTGGATGTGGTTGACGACGCGGGAGAATTTGCAACCGTCGTAAGGACACTCCTCCTGTTTCATGAACTTCTTGAAGCCGTCCTTGGTCAGCTGTTCGTCCTTGATGTGGTAAGTCTTGTGCTTCTCTGGAATGGGGGGAAGGGGGAGGGGAAGGGGGGAGGGGGTCATTTAGTGAGTGTTTTTTTTATGGTTGAGATATTTGTAATTTATTGACGGTGAAGTGAGTAAATTATTGTAATGCAAATTGTTCATTGTTGTAGAGAGGATATTACTGTGTCGTTATTTATCAATGGTGAATCAATTTGAACATATCATTCAAACATTAAGTAGATGTAAATCATTAAAAAAAATGACAAAAATTAATAACTCAATAAATCCACCATGTAAAAAAAGGAAGAAGAACAACAAAAAAAAAAAAAAACGAGACCAAGGACACTCACCCATATCCGCCTTATTCTTGAACGTGTAGTTGCATCCGGTCCTCATGCAGTGGAAGTGGGTTGTCCTCTGGCCGCTGAAGGAACACCCGGGCTGGTTGCAGTCCTCTGAAGCCCGGAATCTCTGGAAGCCCTCCTGCATGATGGCCGAATCCTTCCGGTGGTAGTTCGCGTGCATCTGAACGTCCGATGTGCTGATGTACACTTTGTCGCATCCCTCCTGCGTTCGGGGCGGGGGGAGGGGTGGGGGGAAGGGGGGAAAGGGGGGGAAGGGAAGGCCATTGTAAAGATGCGGTTCGTGACAAGTGATCCTAACAGATCTAATTCCTGTGCATTCAGAGGTGTTTGTTTTCTTTTTTTTTAAGCGGTTCTAATCTATCTAATTCTTATTGATTCACAGATCTATTTTCAAGAGGTCCTTCTCATAAATCTAACTTTTGTTCATTCATAAATCCTTTTGAGTGGTCCTAACAGATCTAATTCTTACCACTCGCAGATTTTTGTTTTACCTTCTTTCTAACACATACATCGTTATAACCCGAGTCCTTATCTATCCCAATACACTTTCACCCACTTTCCCTAATGAATTCCCACATCATTATAAATCACACTCCCTGCTTACTCATCAGCAGCGTCCCCCTTCATCGCACTCACCTTGAGGCAGTGGTAATGCGTCTGCTTGCGGTTGTGTGAGCAGTTGGAGAAGCGGTCAGAGCAGTCGTCGGAGGGCGAGTACCTCATGAAGCCATGCTGGAGGCTCTCGTCGCGTTTCTTGTGCCACTTGAAGTGCCTGATCATCTCCTCCTTCTTGCTGAACACCTTCGAGTCGCACTCCAGGCAGTGGAAGTGTTCTCTGTAGGGGGGAAGGGAGGGCGGTCAGGGGGAGGTTTGGGGATTGGGAGCTTCGGGGTGATGGAAGCGTGACTCCCTTTCTGTGGTCTCTCGTCTTCGGGATTTTAAGTTGTCATGATTCGACTTTATACCTATTAGTCTTTGGCAATAATCATAATTAACATAAAGAGGAACAAAGCAAATTTAAAGAAAAATCAGCATATATATCACTCAATAATAAAATCTGTACGTGGCATCTGTTTATCGCCACGGATCGTTAACACACAAATCAAGCCAGGATCGCCACCTCGTAGGATCTGGCTCAGTTCCGCCGCTGCCTGAAGGCGCGAGCGGGAGGGAGAAGGAGGACTTACCTGAGGTTATGTTCCCTGCAGGAGAGGGTGCCGCACTCCAAGGCCGAGCTGTAGGGCTTCACGTAGCGGGAGTAGTCGAGCTGAGGCTTGAGGGGGTCGCGGACGCCCATGCCGCCTGCCACGAGGGACGAGGGGGCGGACCCCCCCGAGCCCAGCGAGAGCCCCGCGAGGCCGGGCGTCACGGCTGCGGGAAAAAAGGGACCGGGTCAGCGTCTCAATCCTACGAGACCATTTGCATATCATTAAGAGTAACGGCACTGGAGATAATACACAAGTACACACACACACGTAAACACACATAAGTATAGACGCCTTAGACATAAACACAAGACAAATCAAAACATGCAAGCTCTAGAACGACCCGGTTTTTCCTGCACGTCGGCTTTCTCATCAATTCTCCCAAAACTAAATTCCTTCTCGGTCGTTAACAACCCCCGATACAAGGCACTGAGCGAACACACAACTTCACGACAGACACGGTTATTTCCTTTCCACATTTGTCGAGTGGTTTTGCTATTAATGTCTTCTATTTTCTTTTTTCTTTTTTTGGTTCTTTTTTAAAATTCTTCTCTCTTATTTTTTTTTTATCTCTTATCGGTGATTTACAGGATCTCGACGCCACGCCTCCGACTCGTACCTCCCAGGCGATGTATAACCCACTCCTTCATGCGGGCGGCAGAGATGGGCGTCGCGCACCGTCGCCCTTTACCCACTCTTAACACGACCCACTGTGTGCCGAGGGAACTCCAGCACTCGGGCCCACTCCCCACCCCCCCTCTCTCTCCTTCACCCCCTCCCCCTCCCTCCTCGTTCCAACCACCTCCCACCGCAACCCACTCTCCCATTACCCCATCTGCACTTGTCCCCCCCCTCCCCTCCCTCCCTCTCTCCCTCCCTCTCCCCTCACTCCGCCCTTCCCTTCTCCCCCCTCCTCCCCTTCTCTCTCCTCTTCCCCTCACCTCTCCTTCCCCCCCCCCTCAGCCACTCCTACGACCTCCCTTACTCCGGGATTTGATATGACCCCGCCTGCATAAAGGTCACACGAGGGGAAAAGCGTAAGAGGAAGGGGGTGGGGTGGGGGGGGGGGGGTGGGGGTGCTCAGCTGAACGGCGGGCGGAGCTGACTGACTGACTGACACAAGTACAAACTCAACACGTGTGTCATAGGGCGTGTGTGTGTCGGTTGGTCCCGGGAGAAACGGAGGGTTTTAGGCCCGGAGAAGGCCAGGGAGGGGGCGGCGGAGGAGGGGGGGGCACCAGCGGGGGCGTGTTTCCGCTCTGGCTGGCTAGGAAGGATGGCCACTACCTGGGCCATCCCGCGGGGGGTCGAATCCCGCCCTTCGGAACAGGCGCCAGAGGGGCGACATTCGCCTGCGGTGCCCCGCTCGCGATCAATTGCAGGACTAACTGAGGATGTCCTGGCGGCGGAGGAGGTGGGGGGGAGGGGGGGAAGGGGCACTGCCGCCTCGCACCCCGAGTGACCGCCGCGGGAGGGGGGCGGGGGCAGGGCGAGGGGGTGAGGGGGTGAATCATACAAGAAGCAACAATAACGAGGGAGAGGAATGCGCCTCATAATATTCCCATTAAAGGGACAGAAAACTTCCCCATTAGCGAGCCGGGAAGGGGAAGGGGAAAGAGGAAGGGGGAGGAGGTGGGGGAAGTGAGAGGGGAAAGGGGTGAGAGGGGAGTGAGGGGGGGATGAGGGAAGGTTCCGTCAATCCCCGGGTTTGCGACACGGCCTTGGGGGAGGAGGGGGAAGGGGGGGAGGGGGAAGGGAGAGGGGGGGGAAGGAGGGGGGGTTGGGGCAGACGGATTCCCTTCTATCCTCTCGCGCCCTTATTTCTCTTCCTTCCTTGTCTGTCTGTTTGTCTCTCCGTCTCCATTCCTCCCTCCCTCCCACCCTCCCTCCCTCCCACCCTCCCTCCTTCCCTCTCACCTTCCCTCCCTCCCTCCCTCCTTCCCTCCCCTTACTCCCGCGCTCTATAACTCCCCGCGTTGATCCTTCCCCTCATAATGAGGGGTTCGGCGTCCGCGTGGGCGTGGCGTGGGCGTGGACGAGGCCCGCCCACGGCCGCCCTCAGCGATAACCGAGCTACGGTGTCTACTCATTATTCACATTTCGCCGATTTGCCTTTCCTGATCTGCGTTTCCCCCCTCCCCCCTCCCCCCCTTCCTTCCTTCTCTCCTTGCGAGGCACCTCCTACGCTTTCTTTTATTTCTGGTCGTTTCTTCGTTCTATTCCTTTTCCGGTTCTCTTTTTTCCCCATTTTTCTTTCTTCTCTTTCACACTTTTTTTTTTCTTCTTCCCTTTTTCTTCGTTCTCCTGCTCTTCCATTTCTTTTTTTTCTTCCCTTTTCTTTCTCTTTCTATTCTTTCTCCTCCTCCATTTCCGTCTTTTCTTTATCTCTTCCTCCTCTTTCTTCCCCATTTCTACTTTTATTCACTCTCCCTTTCTCCTTATTACCAATTTCTCTTCCCTCTTCCTTCTGTCCCCCTTTTTCCTCCTCCTTTTCTCCTCTCTTCTTCTATCCTCATCTTTTCTTCCTATTCCCTCTTTCCAACAGACACTCCAGGAAGAAAGACAAAAGCAAAAACAAAAACAAAAACAAAACAAAAAAAACAAGAAAAATGGCCACGGATTCATCAAAGTTGTTTGTTTGATTAACAGAATCCATATATTGACAAGGGGGGGAAGGGGAGGGGAGGGGGGGAGGGAGGGATGGGAAGGGGGAACTATTATTCACTATTGTTCACGGCGTTATTATTGCAAACGTGACAAGCAGAAAAAAGTAATAATAAGAAATGAAAAAAGAAAAACAAAAAGATTAGAAAGAGGGGGAGGGGAGGGAAGGAGAAAGAAAGGAAAGGAGGGAGGGAGGGAGGGAGGGAAGGAGGGAGAAAGGGAGAAAGGGAGAGAGAGAAAAAAAAACAACAGAAAGAGAGACAGAAAGAGGAAGATAGAAAAAAAAAGAAAGAAAAATATTAAAAAAGAGACAGATACAAAGAGATATATATATATAAAGAGCGAAATATCTTTCATTTCACATCATTCGCACCGCCAATAATTTCGCGCCGCGTAAAATAAGGGGGGGGGGGGGTGTAGACTGACCTATCTTCAGGCCTTCCGCGCTGGGCATGACAGGAAATAATCAGTCCCCCTTCAAATCATGCACAGGGAATGGCCACGAGGGGGGGGGGGAGAAGGGGGGAAGGGAGGATATGGGGAGGGAGGAAGAAGTGGGGGGAGAAGGTGGGGTAGGGGTTTGGGTGAGGTTGGGGGATACGAAAAGGGAATGAAATATTGGATTAAGGGGAAGGGAGACGTAGATAGGGGGATAGGGAAGTTGGGGGAAGGGGGAAGGCAGAAGGGGAAAGAGGGAAGGGGGGAAGTGGGGGTGAGGGTGAGCAGTGACACTCGCAAATGAACGCCTGTATATCACTCAACGGGGAGCGCATTTTCATTCATTTTCTAGGGAAAGCTCACAAAGCTCTCCCTCCCTCCCTCTCCCCTCCCCCCCTCCCTCCTTCCTCCCCCTCCCCCTCCCCTCCCTTCCTTCCTTCCCTACCCCCTTGATATTCATCGTCACCTCCACTAATTAACGAACCAACTGTATACCGCAGTGGAACGCCCACTCTCACTCGTTGATGATAATGCGACGAAACAAAAAAAAGAAAAGAAAAAAGAAAGAAGTAAAAATAAAAGTCACCGTTTTTCTTCTCGTTTTCTCCTCGGCATTTATCACTTTTTTATGCAGTTTTCCGTCTCTTCGCTGCATTAATAGATTAACTTACTGCTACACTGACCAGAAAAATTAGCTACCCCCCCTCCCCCATCACCCAACCCCCCCGCAGCGCAAATGAGCCGCTGGCCGTTTTCTGTGAATCAATACCAGATAAAAAGACAAAATGGGAAACCGTCGCTGCCTTTGAGGGGTGACTAAATTATATTCATAAAGCATAAAAACGCGCGGCACAGATACCATAAATAAATCATGTTTTTCCGTCGCCCTTTGGAACGGCGCTTGTCACAATGAACAGACATAAAAATGGAAATGTTTTAACGTGTGACGCTCGGTGTCTGTCAACAGCCGCCGCCGCGAATTCAAAAGAGGAAGGGGTGAAAAAAGAGAAAAGAGAAAAATGCACTCCAGCCAAATGGGACTTAAATTTGCCAGCGCCTCTTTCTCCTCGGCGTCGCTAATATGCGTCATCCATGAATATTTTATGAGTCTTGTGTAGCGCCCCGGGAGGACCGCCGGGGTAAATTGCCGCGCGTTTTATGAATCAAACCCAATTTAAATTGTGGCCCATTTACGGGGCCTCGACAATGGCGGAGGCAGGGCTTCGGGCTGGCGGAGCGGCTGTCGATAAATCATGGGGCGCAGAGGGCTTGTTTATCCTCCCATGGCGGTGCCCGGGGCAGGGGAGGGCAGGGAGGGGTAAGGGAGGGCAGGGAAGGGGCAGGGATAGGGGTACGGGAAGGCAGGAGGGGGTTGGGAAGGGCGGGGATATGGGAAAGGGAAGGCAGGGAAGGGTAGGGAGGGGGTGAGGGAGGGCAGGGGAAGGGCCGGGCACTCGTGTCTCCATTGTTGACATTATCATAATGATGATGGAAACAGGACTTCCGCCACTCTTGCGGGCGACGCTACTACACTCTCGCGGCGATTTCGGGAATGCTATACACTTATTAACCTTGTTGTCATCCGTGGCGACCTAACTGCTCATTTATCATTATCACATTCATTTTTAAAAATTCGTCATCGCTTTGAGAAATGACACCCACCACCCGTGAACTAGTGAGACGAACCTACGATACTTTGCAACGAGATCGAGAAGACGAAGAGAGAAAGAAAATAAAAAATACGATAATTTTCGTCACCAATAACGGCCGCGATGACGATGACGAAGAATTTAGTCTATGTTAAAATCCCAGTCTAATAATAGCCTTTGTAGCCTATGGTTCAGATCCCGATTTAATAACAGCCTTTTGTAGCCTGTATAGCATCTCGTCGGGAGAGAGTAGCCCCGACTTCATCCTACTGGTATGCCGCGAGTCTATAAGGTTCCTCCATCATCATCATCATCTTCATCATGACCGCAACCACCGCCATCCTCCTCCTCTTCTTCCTCCTCCTCCTCCTCCTCCTCTCCCTCCTCCTCTTCCTCTTCTTCCTCCTCTTCTTCC